TCCCATCCCATGGATTCAATCCCATTGATCCCATCCCATTGTTCCCACTGATCCCATCCCATTATTTCCATTGATTCCATCCCACTGATCCCATAGATCCCATCCCATTGATCCCATCGCACTCATCCCATTGATCCCATCCCACTGATCCCATTGATCCCATCCCACTCATCCCATTGATCCCATCCCATTGATCCCATCCCACTGATCCCATTGATCCCATCCCATTGTTCCCATTATTCCCATCCCATTGATCCCATCCCATTGATCCCATCCCATTGTTCCCATTATTCCCATCCCATTGATCCCATCCCATTGTTCCCATTGATCCCATCCCACTGATCCCATTGATCCCATCCCATTGATCCCATCCCATTGTTCCCATTATTCCCATCCCATTGATCCCATCCCATTGATCCTATCCCATTGTTCCCATTGACCCCATCCCACTCATCCCATCACCAGTCAGGTTGCCATTCCTGAAGAACTGAATGGGGTGGCATTCCCATGGGCATTGATGGGTGCCATTCCCATGGGATATTGAGCAGGTGGCATTCCCGTGGGCATTGATGGGATGGCATTCCCGTGGGATTGAGCGGGCGGGAACAATGGGATGGCATTCCCGTGGGATCGAGTGGGTGGCATTCTCATTGGGGATCGATGGGATGGCATTCCTGTGGGATTGAGCGGGTGGCATTCCCATGGGGTCGAGTGGGTGGCATTCTCATTGGGGATCGATGGGATGGCATTCCCGTGGGATCGAGTGGGTGGCATTCTCACTGGGGATCGATGGGATGGCGCTCCCGTGGGCGCTGCCCGGCGTTCCCGTGGGCGCTGCCCGGCGTTCCCGTGGGCGCTGCCCGGCGTTCCCGAGGACAATCGGGCGCTGTTCCCGCAGGAGATCGAGCAGCGGCTGCAGCAGCAGGCAGCGCTGTCGCCCACGGCCGCGCCCGCCGTGCCCAGCGTCGGCAAACAGGACGGGATCCTGCGGCACCACACGCTCCGGCAGGTGGGATAACAGCGGGATAACAGCGGGATAA